AGAGAATGTACAGTATATAAATGAAGATCATCTCTAGGCCTAATTAAATACTTTTCTTTTTTAATATAAAATAACAGATTGACACAGCAGTGCCCAACCTGTAGCTTGCGAGCAACGTGTTGCTTGCATACCATTCTCTGGCTCACATATTCAGATTTATCACTTTTATTAAAAATAAAATAATTTTAAAAATTATACATAAATATATATATATATATAACCCTATATATATGTTAACGGCTAAACCCGATTTCAGGGCAAATGGGTTTATCCTACGCGTGTCAGGATATACTAGTTTAGCCTGAAATCGGGTTTGGCCGATAACATATACGCCATCGCTCATTTGTCAAATTTATTCGTTATATTAAATCGTTATGTTTAAATTTATCGATGACCAAGACAACGAAGACCCTGACGTTGTGAGGATCCTCGATTCGAATCGTGACAAAGACCTCAGGAATTTTTCGTAAGGTGTTTGTTCGCGTTATGTTAATTTAACCCTGACCTTCGCATCTCTGTGCCCAGCAGAATTCATATTTTGTTTAGGAAAATATTATTTTGGAACATCATAATTTAAAAAAACTTGAAAATATACATTCGCTGTTATCTAAATTAGTAGTAATTTATGTACTTTTTTTATAGAATATAAAACTTGAAAAAAACTTTTCGAAAGTATTAAAATTGAAATTTTAAGTTTCCGTTCTGGACAGAAATTTTCTGTATATTAATAAATACATTTAGTTTTCTGAGGGGACAGATAAATCTTACTGTCTCATAATTTAAACGATTGGACGTCGCACGTGTCTTGCTTCAGACATAAAAAATTTCCCTTGCATGCTGCATTATTACAGAAGCAACGTCTTCCATTTACGTATCGAATTAATTTGCAATTCCATCCTAGTTAGTAGCCGTCTTGTCCATTACAGGCGTAATCAGATCAATACTTGTCCATTAGTTAGAATTATGTTGACAGACATAAGTTAACCACTTAAGGAAGAATGTTTATAATTTCTGATTTATTACACAAACCTTTTAAGAATATATTAAAGATATTTAAGTACCCTCGTTATGAAAGATTTTCTACTTCTACATAATGTAGGTTAATACGTTAAAAATATATGGGTATGCAGCGAAATAAAGCAGCGAACATAAGGAGGCCCGTCAGGACTTAGGTCGCACATTGTCTACAGATTTCACCGTTGTCCGTACTCTCACGCCACTTTACCGGAGCATTCAGACATCCCTCCTCGCCAGCACGNGTAAATCGATAATCGGTTAACGAACAATTCGGATAGCGAACAAAGTCTTGGAATGGATTATGTTCGTTAACCGATCACCCACTGTATATAAATTAATTTTTATTAATGACTGTTTACATCAGTGTTTCTCAACCTCTAATGAATGGTCGCCCCTTCAATAAAACCGTTATGTAGTATCGCTCCCTTTACTTCAAAATTCCGATGCCGAGGGCCAAGGCTAATGCCAAATTTGTACTGCATTGAATAGAGTAGTGACTAGTATAATGTTATTTGTTTAATTATTGTGCGATATAACGAATAAAATATCTAATTATTCTTAATATAATGTTTTACTATATCGCCCAGAAAGTTGTTTTTTGCCTCCCAAAATATAAATTGTTACTAATCGCCCCCTCAACATGGAAAATTGCCCACAGGGGGGCGATATTGCCCCGTTCAGAAACACTGGTTTAGATCATATGTCTTTTTCAGCCCAAGTGAGACGTCTAACAATTGGCTAGTCTTGAACAATGACCACTTGATATGCACATCTACTGATGACACTTCCCACCTCTCTCCTTTCCCTTAATGCAGTGAGTTATCATTGGCCGCGAGAGCAATGTATGTATATTTTTTATAGTGGTTGTATGTTTTTATTTTTGCACTATTTAATGAGTTTCCATATATACACGGAGTGAACTTTGAATTTGTGTATGAACTGACAAATGGTTTTAACCACGTATAGAAATATTTGTTTGATTTATTTTAGGGGTTAATATACTAACAATTATACAGCAGACCCCCCTATAGCACAGTAGATGTGGTCTGTGTTATATGAATTCCATGTTGTATGAGTCACTTAAATACATGAGCCAATCACAGCCCGGCACTTGTGCAGTTTGGGGGCTACGGCTGTTTGAAAGGATTTCTTCCATAAAATTAATCGATTCTAGACTAATTTGACTCAAAAATTTCCAAAATCACGTATAATTTTTTAGGAATAATCCATATAAACTATGCTATAAACAAAAAATTGTAGAAATACGTACCGAGTGCACACCGTTCAAAGACGCCATTGCTTAAGCTGGTTTTCATTGCGGAGCGGCTCATTGAACGACGAACGCATTTCCTGATAAACTATTCTGATGACTAAAGACAAAATTTTAGATAACGTAAAAATTATAAAATTACAGTATTAAACTTACAGTACCTAATTTATATACTGTACAAATGATAGTAAACGCAACTTTCCTGCCTAAACTCTCCGTATATACACGTGGCGCTGACAGCAGCAAGTACTTCAGCTGCTCGTGCACTATTGGTCCAGATTCGACCAATCCTGTTGAAACACGACAATCTGTCTCATTCTTTTACCATGTTATACGAATCTCTTTTAGCGTGTTATACAATACAATTAGTACATCACAACACAATTAGTTACAACACAATCGCAATTTTTTCACCGTGTTATATGAATCCATGTTATATGAACCCGTGTTATACAGGGGTCTACTGTATTCATCTTATAGTTACCCTAATTATGTCTGAGTATGAGTCAGAGAAAAATAAAACACAGACATTCACTTACAATTTTTCTAGAAGACTGAGAAGAGAAATATTTCTTATTTATTTTAAGAACAAATGTATTTGTTTGATTTGCAGTTCAATAGTTGCTATTGGAAAAAGTGCAACATAGAATGACATTTTGCAATGGTTCATAAAAAATATGATACTGAATATCCTATTAACAGCAGTTAAGAAAATCTAAAGTGAAAGAATTAAAAACAACATTAGTTGCCCAACAATCTATATTTACTAAGTCCATGACTAAATGAAGAGCTGCTACAATTCCTTCATTTAAGATTGCACATATACTTGCAATGCATGAAAAATCCTTTGACGACAGCAACATAATTAAAGAAGCAACGCTTGCTACATCAGAAACATTGTTTCAAGAATTTAAAAATAAGACGGAAATTATTTAATCTATTGAAGATGTTCAATTATCAAGGAATTCAGTCACTTGTAGAATAAAAGCAATGTCTGAAAATATCAAATTACAAAGAAAAAAAGAACACGATCTAGTGTTCAACACTTCTAAAGAAAAAGAAAAAATTTAGAACAATGCATTAAGTGTACAATGTGATGAATCAACAGACATCTACAATATCGCTGAAATAAATATTTTTGTAAGAATGGTCTTTAATGATCCCTCGGTAAAAGAAGATATAATCTGTTTTGGCACTACAAGAAAATACACATGGAAAGGACATATTCCAAGGTTATTAAAAACTACATTAAAGAAATTAAGATGCCTCTTCAAAAACTTGTGTCCATAACAACCGACGGAGCATCTGCCATGATTCGTTCTAGTGTTGGCTTCATCACATTATGTAAGAATGATGCAGAGTTTCCAAATTTTTTTCATTATCACTGCATCAATCATCAACAGGCATTATGTAGAAAAGTGTTGCATTATGAACATGTCATGAAACTTGTTCTAAAAACTGTAAATTCTAATCGAACCAGACCACTTCAAAGCAGATTATTCAAAATACTGACTGAAGAACTAGATGAGTATGGAACTGTAATCTTAGATTCTGAAGTTAGATGGCTTAGTAAGGAAAAAGTCCTACAATGATTTGTAGAGCTTCTTCCAGAGATATAACTGTTTGTAGAATCCAGAAACAAAACTTATGAAGAACTTAATGATCAAGACTGTTTGTCAGATTTATCCTTTCTTACTGATATAACAACTAAAATGAATATACTCAGTCTTGAACTTCAGAGGAAACAAAGAACTCTTTTTGAATAAACTCCTGCTTTGGATCAACTTACCTTTGTATAAGCGGCTTTTTGACAATGAAATTTTTAAAATCAAAGTTCAGATTCAGAATAACAAATAAACATATGAATGATTATATGACAGTTGCTGTAACACCTTACGTACCACAGTACAATAAACCAGCCGAAAACATGTGATGTCAGTCTTCACATTGATTATTAATAAGTATTTTTTTTTATTCTGTATTGTATTACAGTAGAGCATCGATTATCCGACCCCCGATCAACCGTCACATCGGTTAACCGACCGCGTTCTAGTCGGCAAATTCAAATGTCCGCTAGTGATGTGGCGCTACAATATTTGGCTATGTCTTGGCCACTTTAATATTATTTTTGCATGTTTTAGCTGGCAACATTGGCTCGACCATGAAAGGGAGCCAGTATTTAAACGAGGCTTAATTTTCTAATTTTTTAACGATACAATAGCAACAATTATTATTTTAAAAAATTTTTGTTGGGCTTAACATCGATGTAAATTCAACGCGAAGTAGGTTAATAGCGCTATACTCATATACTAATTACATGGGATATACTAATATACTATACTAATAATGTATTTTTTCATATTTTTTGGTTATCCGACCAACCCCAGTCCCCAATTGAGTCGGATAATCGATGCTCTATTGTAATTTGTAGTAGTAATAAACAGTAATAGTGTAATATTATTGTGTTTTCTTTTACGTATTGTTGCCACTTTTTTTTTTCAAAAATAAGATCATCATCCTATGTGTGGCTTGCCGAAAATTTTTAAATTTTTTAATTTGCTCCAGATGGACTAAAGGTTAGGCACCGCAGGATTAACATATTAATAACTGAATTTTATTTTATTATATAAAAATAACTAAAAATAAATAAATAATATATTTAAAAGATATTTTAAGTTATGCATAATTAAGTAATTCTTTTTAATTAACTTACTCTTATTAATGAAAAATGAAACTTGCTTAAAGAAGTGAAAGATGAGTGGCTTTTAAGTTGGGGCGAATTAAAGCAATAGTCACATTCAGAGTCTCTTCCAAAAGTATATTTGTCTTTAGTCAAAACTGAAATTAATAACATTATTACATTAAAAATTATATTATACAACAAAATAATACAAAAATATAATATTTTAACCATGTCAAAAGAATTAAAAGTGATAACTAGGTCCCAAAACTTTACACCATTAAAATCTATAAAATATGCATATAAATTTTGTAGAATTTATATGTATAATTTTTACAGAAATACAGTATTTTGAACATATTTAAGCAAAGAAATTCTTATATTAATATATAAGGATCATATTTTATTCTCATACAAAACATGGAACATGACGAGGAAGGATTAAAATTCAACTTAAAAATTAATTAAGTTGATGAGTGTCTTCATCTTCCTATCGAATTTATCATACCTTCACTTAATTTTTGTTCTCTCAATTTCATGACAGACTCCGCAATGCCTAATTGCTATATAAAAAGTAAATATAATTTTAGATTTTTTTCAGAGTGGCAGTACCTATGAAAAACAGATTTATAGCAAAAAAATCTTTCTACTTCATGCAATGTGACTGGAGCATTTTTGAAAGCCACGATGTTTCGAATGCCATAAATGCCTGGTACTCGAGCACTATTGTTTTCAATTAATGCCTTGGCAATTTCTTTCATCATGTTTAGTCCCAAATTTAAAAAATAACAAACTTCAGTTTTTCCTTAATTCCACTTTTTTTCTGAGAATTTGGAAGATTTTCTACCGTATCTTGCGCATCATGGATGATCTCAATTGCACTAAGNTTGTTTTCAATTAATGCCTTGGCAATTTCTTTCATCATGTTTAGTCCCAAATTTAAAAAATAACAAACTTCAGTTTTTCCTTAATTCCACTTTTTTTCTGAGAATTTGGAAGATTTTCTACCGTATCTTGCACATCATGGATGATCTCAATTGCACTAAGAAGGGAAATTTGGCTTTCAAGCTTTGTAATTATACAAAAACTCACTACTCACCACACCTATATACCAATCACATACACTGAACCAATTTACGATGTGGTACGATCGACTAACAATTAAAAACATACGTTTTTGAACGTTTGTAATTATATTGACCAGAAAAGAGAAATTGGCTTTGATGTACTGTACCCTTGACTTGGCTCGTGCAAGGTTTCATTTAATACTATTAGTCATTACTACTGCTTTTATTAAAAGTAAAATCATATGTTTTTTTCCATAAATAATGCCTATGTTCAAGAGTTTGCTCTTTTCTTGAATAACTAATAAATGTGCAATTAATTATGGTTTGAAGGTTGCTTTTTCGTTAATCAATTAACAAACGCATCTATAATGAATAGCTACTAACTTCTCCTCAACAAATTATTAAATGTGTGTATAATTGATGGTTCAGACTGTCACTGCAATTCTTTTGACAGAGGTCGAAAACCTGTGTCAAAAGACTCCCTATTATAACTAATAGATATGTATGTATCCATGGTGCGGTTTACTTTATATTTCTTTTAAAAAATCAATTTTTCAAAAATATTTCCTCAAAATTGATGAAAAAACTTTATGGGTTAATTGTACCTAAATAACCCCCGTTTTTGTGCCTGGACCGCATTTAATCAGAGACAAAGCTTTTTATTCGTATTCTTTATTTTCTATGCATTTCGGGTGCAATATTTTCTTTAATTTGCACCCCTCTTCACGATTTTTACATCTCTATAAATTTGGTAAGTTTAATTATTACATCGGTAAATTACTACAATAGTTATATAATGGTTAACTAACCTGTTTTAAGTTTTAGGTCGACATCTGCCCAGTGTTGATGTTATGTCCCCTAAGGCATTTTTAGACCGTTTCCCCCTCTTTTCCCTTTCCCTTTAGCTCCTCCCATTTCCTCCCACACGTCGTCTACCTCCATTCCATCATTTAGGTTTATGGTTTTGTTTTTACTAATGATTTCGAAGTGCTCTTTGAATTTTCTTAGATAAATATCTTTTTCTTTATGAATAATTTTTATACTTTTTTCGTTTATTGTGCATTGTAATAATTAAACTTACCAAATTTATAGAGATGTAAAAATCGTGAAGAGGGGTGCAAATTAAAGAAAATATTGCACCCGAAATGCATAGAAAATAAAGAATACGAATAAAAAGCTTTGTCTCTGATTAAATGCGGTCCAGGCACAAAAACGGGGGTTATTTAGGTACAATTAACCCATAAAGTTTTTTCATCAATTTTGAGGAAATATTTTTGAAAAATTGATTTTTTAAAAGACTCCCTATTGTCATTCAAAATATCCAACACGATCAATTAGAGTCATCAAAGGAACCATCTAAGTAAGAAAACAAAGTGCAATGCCAAGTCCATAATCACACAATTAATTAATAGTGTCCAACCTATGATAATCAAGCAAATTTCTTTCGAAGTCAACTCCGACCAGTTTGCCGCAATACCAAGTAGTTTGCACCAGGCTACACGTATCCACCTGACAAACGTTCTAGAATGTTTCCGACACATCTAGAAGATAACTTTGATGTTAAACTCAACATTCAAACTATGATCTTTCTTCTAGAACAATCCACAAATGGCCAAACGGTTCCATCGCTAAACACTGGGAATTTGGTTGAGGGTTTGCACCTCGCCAGGAAGGGCCGGCCATGTGGAGTTTTCTGGGTTTTCTCCACATCCGTAACGCCCGAAGAGAGGCCAGTTACCCTTAAAAAGACTACCCGGAAGGCATTTCCCCTAGGCAGATCACCCAACTGTTGTGTTGACCAAACTTAACCAAACAAACAAATCTAGAACAATCTACAGTCATGTATTGGGTTGTTCGGAAAGTAAGTTTGTTTTTTTTACCACTAGACGGATTAGTGGTATTTTTTCCGCCATTTTCGTTATAAACCGTATTATCATTATATATTTTGACAGCTAGCATTTTACGGCTTATTTGTAAAAAATTTTGTTTGATTTCGTGCAATTGTTTATTTTTGTGTCCCATCAAATATGAAAGATCGAAAGCAGCATCTTCGGCATATTTTGCTTTTTTATTACCAAAAAAATAAAAATGCCGTTCAAGCGAGAAAAAAATCGTGTGACATGTATGGTAGAGATGTGTTGACAGAACGACAGTGCCAAAACTGGTTTACAAAATTTCGTTCTCGCAATTTCAGTATCGAAGATGCACCACGTTATGGATGGCCAATTGAAGCCAATGAAAATAAAATAAAAGTACCGATTGAAGCAAACTGCGAAATAACAACACGTGAAATCACTAAGAGATAAAATTTGTCAAATTGAACTGTTTATGAGTACTTGAAACAAATTGGTTTTGTTTCAAAGCTCGATATATGAATTCCACAAGTTCTTAAAGAGAAATGCTCTATTTGGTGGGATATTATGAAAATTTTTTTTGGAGCTTTTACCAGACAATTTAACAATTGATTCAAAAGTGTACTGCATTCGAGTAAACAAATTGCGTAATATCATCAAACAGAAAAAGCCAGCCAGAATTGATAAAAAAAAANTTTGAACGTTTGTAATTATATTGACCAGAAAAGAGAAATTGGCTTTGATGTACTGTACCCTTGACTTGGCTCGTGCAAGGTTTCATTTAATACTATTAGTCATTACTACTGCTTTTATTAAAAGTAAAATCATATGTTTTTTTCCATAAATAATGCCTATGTTCAAGAGTTTGCTCTTTTCTTGAATAACTAATAAATGTACAATTAATTATGGTTTGAAGGTTACTTTTTCGTTAATCAATTAACAAACGCATCTGTAATGAATAGCTACTAACTTCTACTCAACTAATTAATAAATGTGTGTATAATTGATGGTTTGGACTGTCACTGCAATTCTTTTGACAGAGATCCTCGACCTCTGTCAAAAGACTCCCTATTGTCATTCGAAATATCCAACACGATCAATCAGAGTCATCAAAGGAACCATCTAAGTAAGAAAACAAAGTGCAATGCCAAGTCCGTAATCACACAATTGATAGTGTCCAACCTATGATAATCAAGCAAATTTCTTTCGTAGTCAACTCCGACCAGTTTGCCGCAATACCAAGTAGTTTGCACCAGGCTACGCGTACCCACCTGACAAACGTTCTAGAATGTTTCCGACACATCTAGAAGATAACTTTGATGTTAAACTCAACATCCAAACTATGATCTTTCTTCTAGAACAATCCACAAATGGCCAAACGGTTCCATTGCTGGGAATTCGGTCGAGAGTTTGCACCTTGCCAGGACGGGCCAGCCATGTGGAGTTTTCCAGATTTTCTCCACATCCGTAACGCCCAAATAGAAGCCAGTTACCCTTAAAAAGACTACCCGGAAGACATTTCCCCTAGGCAGATCACCCAAATGTTGCATTGACATAACTTAACCAAAACAAACAAATCTAGAACAATTTACAGTCATGTAGTATAAGTAATAATTTGATAAAAAAGCACTCATTTTTATTATGAGAAATAAAATAATTGATTAATATTGAATTATTCATTAATCAGATGTTTTTTTTTCATTGAATGTAATCATTAATTTCAATATTTCATTACATTTCAATGGCTTCTAAACTTTGTAATGCACTCATCTAGTCTACTTTGCTCCCCTCAACACAAACAGCATCTAGTTAATTGTTATTAAAAAAAGCTAATTAAATAAAATACTTCAATTTGAATAATTTTAATGGAGTTTTCAACAAATATGACTTAAACTTTTTCAAGGATTATTATCCTGCAAGAAATTGAATACTTTCAATTGAATTAAAAGTATTCAAAACACATTTTATCTATCGGCTGTTTAAACAAAACTAATCGGAACGAAATGAAATTCTAATAAATTACCAAATTATTAGTAATTTATTAGAATAAGTTAAGTTAGAACGTGGGTTCCCACGGTGCGGCCATGATGGTCCCACGTCGATCTAAAAATACAGTTGTCCCTTGATAATCCGACAGGTATGGGACCAAAGGGGTGTCAGATTACCGAAAGTGATAACATATTTGGCATTGTTTCGCTAGCAGTAACCTACAATATTCCTACGTTTTATGAGTAAAATGCTGCCTAAGTTAATATGGAAATGAAACACCCATTTCGGTTAAATAAAATGTTTATTAAAAGAAATATGGAAGCCAATAAATGTACAGTACATACAGTATGTACCGTGTTTCCCCGAAAATAAGACAGTATCTTATATTAATTTTTGCTCTGAAAAATGCGCTAGGTCTTATTTTCAGGGAATGTCTTATTTTTTCCAGGAAGAAGAATTCACATTTATTATTGAACAAAAAAAAAATTTCCAAGTCGAACTTAGACGAGAGTGACGTATATCCGATGTGTCGAACTGTCGCCTTTTTATAGCGTCAACATCGGACTCGATGAGCAATTAGTGCTTACTGAACCGTAGCACTATGCAAATGTCATATGGCGTGATTCCCGGCCGAACAATTAGCCATCACCAGCCGTAACGTTATGCAAATCTGTGATTCCCAAGCCATAGTCTTATGCAAATCATGCCGTGTGGCGTAATTGTCTGCTGACCAATCAGTGGCTGTACTTTCAAAAAGCCAACGGCCACTTTCAACCATCTGTCGATGACCGTTACGACAAAAAAAGAACTTCGCTAGGTCTTACTTTCAGGGGGAGGTCTTATATTTCGCAATTCAGCAAAATCTGTGCTAGGTCTTATTTTCTGCGGATGTCTTATTTTCGGGGAAACACGGTATAGCGACATGCTTCTGTGCAAGCAGACACGTGACGGTGACTACGGTGACTTTGACGGGAGGTGCGTCGGACTACTGAGCATTACGTCGGATTACAAAACGTCGGACTATCAAGGGACAACTGTACTTCTACTTTTAATTGTCAGTTTGGGCCCAAATACTTTAAATGGTTATTTATTAAATAAATCGACTGTTAATTGATTAAAACGACACTGTTCGTAATTGTATTTGCAATGCAAAACATTAACTACAGAAATACAGAAATTGCGGGAAATAAACAATGAACCAAACCACGTGTTACTACACGTGTTGTCAATTACACCTGAAATCGAAGGTAACTTACTTACCTAAAGACATAAATTTCGAGTTGCAGGGAAATAACTTTCCCCAAACTCCGTCTGGTGTTTCGTCGTCCGAATAGCTGCAACCCGACTTCTCCTGAGTACCCATCATCGCTCCGCCGCTTCCACCGCTACTCGCTAAATTTTCGTTCTGCGACATCTTTCCGTTCCTTCTCACTCTCACACACTGAGGTCCTACAATACAATCTCGGACATCGTACACACATGACTTGTTAGCGGACGACATACCCACGTTGTTGCCAATTCGCTTAATCAACGTCGATAGCAAAATATAGCCAAAAGATAGCCTTTGTTTTATTGTCTTCATCAAATATTGTAATGTTTGAATTAATTAATTAGAAAAAAAATATAATTTAATTAAGTAAATTAATAATAAACTTTATCTTTAAATTATTATTTGTTATTTCAATTTTTGATTTTAATTTTTGACTCCGCTTCGATGGCTCTAACTGCTAAAAATGGGTTTTTTTTATCGAGTTCTTTGTGAATTCGGCTAGGTCCGAGAGGGAGAAACCGGAAATAAAGCGTGGCATATCCGGACGGCCATCACCCAAAAAGTTTTTGAGGTTTTCGACCCGTCCGAATTCTATATCGGGACCCTCATAGCAATAGGATATTACTCTAACCGCTCGGCCACTTTAGCGAGCCTATTATAATATAATTATAATAGGTTCGCTAAAAAAAAACCCTGTTTATGCCGACAGTACGGAAAAAGTTTTTAAGAAAAAGGCCAAACTACAGTGTTCGCATGATACAGTAGCGACATATGAACTGGTACCGCCATGTTCAGTCAAGTATCAGAGAGCGATCTATATGTTTAAAAATAGAAATACCGACGTTTTCGGCTTAATAAATCATTTTAGAAATTTTAAAATTCTTTCCGTTCGTAGTATACTATTTATTAATTAAATAACTATATATGTTATATATGGAATTAGTTTCTTTATTGTTTAGAGGCTGTGTTTTATTAGTATAATGCAACGCGACACATGGGCGATCAGCCGAGAGGGAAATATTTTTCAGGAGGTTTTTTTTTTATGTGAGATTGTCCACTATTTAGTTATTGCTAAGGTCAAGAAACTCGAAAAGCTTTACGTAATCAGGCGCGAACCCACGACCAACTATCAGTGTTCAGTGGTTTTATACAATTGGCCTGTTTAGAGGCGTATTTTTCAGGTTCATCATCTTCTGGTATAATAACAATCATTTTTCTTTGTGAGTTCTTCAATTATCTCAAGAAAATCAAATTAAAATTACTCGTTCAGCTCTGTCATAGAATGCTTTTTTATTTGATACATTACAGTGTCCATAGGGCATAAAGAATCAAAGCTGAAAAAATACCAGTTAGTATTTAATTCGGATAATAACTAGAACAAACCACACTTCTTATATAAGCGACTCCTTGTTATGATAGTTGAAAAAAATAAAACAAAGCAGAATAAAAGTTCTATTGAATCCAGTTTCTTTAGAACATTTCATTTAATTTTATTATTCAGAAATCTGAATATTTCACCTAAAAATAGTGCTCAGATGCTTAGTGTTTGGTGGTTCAGATCCTTCTGAAAAAGGATAAAGAAAAAATATTTTCCTACAGATTCTATTCAGAGAAAAATTTGGACTGCAAAATTAGGCCGAAAAAATGGAAACTTACAAATAGTTTTGTTTTGTGTGAAGTTCATTTTGAACAACAAATGGAAGAGAAAGTGAGAGGCGACAGAGTTGAGGAAATAATGTATGATTCGGTTTTGGTTCATTTAGTTATGGCAATACAACACGCCAGAAATCTGCCAAGGGAAATTTCTGACGGCCAATTGAATAAAACCACTGAACACTAATAGTTGATCGTATGTTCGCGCCTGGTTACGTGGAGCTTTTCGAGTTTCTTGATCTCAGCAATACCTAAATAGTAACCAATCTCATATAAAAACCTTCTGGAAAGCATTCCCCTCTCAGCAGATCGCCCATGTGTCGCTTTGATTTATACTAATAAAAACACAGCATCTAAATAATAAAGAAACTAATTCCTTATATAATATATCTAGTTATTTAAAATGAATTAATAATACTATACAGCTAAAATTTATTACTCCCGAAATCTTATAGCTTTCGTCATATTGGCGAAAAAAAAGGTATAAAATGGTTTATTAAACGGAAAACGTCGAGATTCCTATTTTTAAACACAGATCTCTCGCTGATACTTGACTGAACATGGCGGCACCAGTTTATATGTCGTTACTGTACCATGCGAACACCGAATTCCCGCGCGCTCTGGTTTTCGATTTTTTATAGAAATAGACCTGGTACAAAGCTCAAGGCCATCTATAGTCTAGAGTCTAGACAAAAAGTTCTGTTTTCTGTATTTCTCTTCAATTTTTGTGATATTACAAATTCATTTAGTTTATTACACATTTCCATTATACTTTTCATGATTTATGATGATAATTTTTATTTATTTAAACGTAAATGCAATGTATAAAAGTCATTTTTGTTGTATTTATAGTTATTTTGTTAGTTTTCGTACTAATTTAATCTCTTATATGTTTGTTATTGACAGCTTTCTGTTATTTTTAACATTTTTTATTCAACTTTGTTAATTACTTTACAAGATAATATTGTAAACAGAAGCACGTGTCTTTTGCAGTGACGTGAGAGGCCATGTGACCACATTAACACGTGGTGACGCCATTCAACTTCCTGTGTTCTCCATATGACGTAATATATAAAGTCAAAGTCAAATCTAAAAAGTCAAAATAATTTGATATATTAAAATATTTTTCATTATTTAAATACTGTATATTATATCACTAGATGAATTTAATTATTGTTTAGATATTTATAAAAAAATTACATAAAAATATATTAATTAAAGAATTAAATGAATTTTATTTTTAATCTAATAATATTATTATTACATTTTTATTTACTACAGTATATAGATTATTTGAGTACGTAAAAAATAGTTTCTGTTCTGATCTCCAGATGGCATTGTAAATGTAATTCCGTTTTTCA